TTTTGAATGAAATGAAAAAGAGATCACTGAACAAATTTTATAGATTTGTGTGGAAGAGTAAAAAGAAATCAAGAAATATTAATGCAATTATAACAGTCATATTGAAAAGATGAAACATTGATCATGAAGAATTTCACATAACCTGGTATTGACTGGTCCATATAATATAGAACAGAAATAATTGTTCTTGAGCAGGTTCGACTTACAATAGTAGCAGCGATTGAAGATTGCATTCAGAAGGAGAAGTTGAAGAAGCTAGGCTTACTCACAGGAACAAAAGAAAATTGTGGTGACCTAATTCCAGCTTTTGTTGTGCAGAATATACCAGTATTGATAGCAGGACAAATTACTCTCACTGTCAAACATGAAAGCAAGATTCACGTGATGCTGCTGTGCTGCACTACTCTTGCTTTCAAATAGGTCTTAAATGCCTAGGGGACAGGTGATGTATTGGTCCAAAGAACATTATGGCTCATAATTTTCTGAGAAACTGCTGTGACTTTTCTTGGGACTGTGTGCCATGCCTTCTGCACTGGTGTGTCATAAGACCATTCCTTGCAATGCAGTGGCCTCCCATTTTTCTGCTTGTATCATCCCACATGGACCTGTGTGTGCCATGAAACTTGTACCTCTTATGATATATTCCTGCACTGAAGTCTTTGTTCAGGCTTTTTTGGTCACTAATTGAGGGTGAAGCCCTCCACAGTTTCCCAGGTTTTTAAGAACATTCGGTGCTTTTTCAGAGTTAATCTGGAAGACAGCAACAATCTCAAAGTGCTTTATGCATTTTAGTAGAAGAGCAGCAGGATAATCGGAGGCAAGGACTACTACCAAACTGACAGTTATTGGGTGCAAGAGCTAACAGTTACTTGTGTGATTTTTTTAAACAAAGATAGTGCCTTTGTTTTTACATTTCTGACATAATCACATGTGGGACATGTAAAATATTAATCCTTCTGCAAGAAGGTTTCTCTTGAAGTCCCTGTATGTATAAAAAATGGAAATCAGCAGCGTAGGCCTCCCTCCCTGCTTCATTGGTGTCTGAGGCCTTATTTGCAATGGAAATCCATCCCTGTCCTTGTAGTATGATGAGTGCTCTCAGATGATGAGCTTCCTGAAAAGATTGTTTTTTACATGAATGGACCAAGTGATAACTTTGCCGCAAATTCCTTTATGTGAACAATGAATGTGGTGTTTCACTGTCCTGGTTTCAGCAGGGATAGAGTTAATTTTCTTCCTAGTAGCTGGTACAGGGCTGTGTTTTGGATTTAGTTTGAGAACAATATTGATAACACACCCATGTTTTAGTTGTTGCTAGGTAGTGCTTCCACTAGTCAAGGCCTTTTCAGCTTCCCATGCTCTACTGACTGAGAAGGCTGGAGGTGCACAAGAAGCTGGGAGGGGGCACGGCCAGGACAGCTGACCCAAACTGGCCAAAGGGATATTCCATACCATGTGATGCCATGCTCAGCACATAAACTGGGGGAAAACCGGCCGGGGGGGCCGCTGCTCAGGGACAACTGTTCTTGTCTCAACCCATGAGTTTTCTCACGTTCACTTGTCTGATTCTCTCCCCCATCCCACCGGGGTGGGGAGAGTGAGCGAGCGGCTGTGTGGTGCTCAGTTGCCGACTGAGGTTAAACGACGACATTCACTCACAGACACGGGCAGACTGGCTCCCTCCACCACTCCCTGCTGCATAATCTCTCTTTTATCTTTATTCACAAACCCTTGGAGGATAAAGGCTTTGCACACTTTCAGCTGCTCTCTAATTATTACTCATTTCTAGCAATGGCTTGGGGTTTAGATAGAAATGCAAGCTGACCACTGCTTTTTAGTTTCTGTTTTCATATACAGGTCTTTGGTGTTGACTTTTTCCCCATGCCATTGTCCATTGCTTTATGAATAAAAGCATGACTTTTAGCAAGGTCTATACCAGTGTCACCATTAGTTTTACAAAGAATTAAGTTGTATGTCCCATTGTTCTGCAAATGCCGTTAAACTCTCACTGTCCCAAGAAGCCATCAGCCAGCTAAGCCAGTGCAATCAGCAGTAAAATGAGAGAACAGGTGCCTTACTGACTGAATTGATCGCATATTGACACCAGGCTATGCCCTCCATGAAATTCTCTGGTAAAACCTCCCTTGTGGATAGAGTCAGAATTGTACAGAATCAAAGGCTCATTTCGAAGTCTGTGACTTCTTCAAGCCACTGCCTTACCCTGGGTGAGGTTGCACTTGAGCATAGCGCCTATCCTGACCCAGGCCGCCACTTGAATTCAAAATAGGGAGTGCGTGTGGCATGAAAACCTGAAGCAAAAGAGAAGTGGGGTGAAGGTTATGGGAGGAGGAGGTGATTGTACAGGGAAGAAGCTCCAGGAAGAAAAAAGGAGAAATTCTTAGGAATTCTTAGGAAGCCTCAGTGTAGAAACCTGAGAGGTGTTAAAGGTATTAGACGGATTGTAGCTTATTTCTTCTTACCATCCTTTCATCTCTAAGAACTACTGGAGTAGATTACATTAAGGCTTTGTGAGTATTTTTAATGATATCTGAAGAAAAATTAAAGAAAATTAACTAACTGGCCTGGGATCAGGAAGTTGAGGAAAAGCAGAAATGGTGTGTTAGGAAGATATTATTCTCTCACATGGTCTTTATATTAAAATATTTCATAGAATCATATAATATCTCAAGTCGGAGTGGACCCATAAGGATCATCAAGTCCAACTCCCTGCTTCTTGCAGGAATACCTAAAACTGTGTCATATGACTGAAGAGCATCATCCGGACGCTCCTTGAACGCTGTCAGGCTTGGTGCCATGACCACTTCCCTGGGGAGCCTGTTCCAGTGACCAACCACCCTCTCAGTGAAGAACCTTTTTCTAATGTCCAATCTGAACTTCCCCTGATGCAGCTTCATGCCATTTCCGCATGTCCTATCACTGGTCACCAGAGAGAGGAGATCAGCATCTCCCCCTCCGCTGCCCCCCTTCAGGAAGTTGTAGACTGTGATGAGGTCACCCCTCGGCCTTCTCGAAGCTGAACAAACCAAGTGACCTCAGGCCCTCCTCCTAAGTCTTGCCCTCGAGGCCTTTCACCATCTTGGTTGCTCTCCTCTGGACACACTCTAGTAGTTTGATGTCCTTCTTATACTGAGGCACCCAAAACTGCACATAGTACTCGAGTACGATAGAGGAGAAAGGTCATCTATTTCACTGAGGGAAGGCAGAGTGGATAGTGAGCACCCCTCTGACTGCCAAGGACTGTATCATATGCAGGCTCATCCCGCTGTAAAGTATGACTACATTTTAAGTGTAAAAACTAGCATCACCTCTAGATATGTCCTAGCACAGTTAATGGAGAGGTGTAACTGGAAAGTATGCATGATACACATTAATGTACTCAAGTATATATGTAGAAAGGCATGCTGTTCTCATTAGAATTATTTGTGAACCTTTTTAGCTACAAATTATTTGAAAAGTATTAGCATTTATTTTGATGATACAATTCTAATGAAGCAAAATAAACAGTATGAATCCCATTCTGCACTTAATAGCTCCTGTCTGTCAGACTGGAAGTTCCCAGTGTGCTCATCTGTTTCTTTAGGGGGAACCCTTTTCTCCGTGCCTTTTAAAGACTTTCTCCAGAACATCTTCATTTTCACTATGCAGATGCCTGAGGCCATTATGCTTTACTGGGGTAACCAAGTCTGCTAGACCCTTTTTACTTACTCTTCTGTGGTACAAATTATACTGTTCTTTCTACACTGCTGCTGTACTTCAGATACAGTCAACAGCAAATGCCAACTTCTTCTGTCAGGCACCACATCTCTGTATCTATCTTCCCTTCTTTATTTTTTCCTCCATGCTCTGTTATTTTCTGTAAATGCTATTTATTACGTACTGCGGTCAGCATTCTGCCAGATCCATCTCACTGCATTTAATTACGCTGTGTTGAAGAGTAGCTGAGCAGTTAACAGAAGTTACGTGCTCAGAGAGACTTGCTATAGGTTTTTTTTCCTCCAGCATGAATGTTGAATCACTGAATATCAGCTGAGTTTGAAATTTACCTGAATATATTTTACTATTCCAAAGAGATTACACAATGGCCCTGATTAGCAGCAGTATTTTGTAATACCACTTAAGGCTTTATCACAGTGGAGTACTGCCAGTAATAGTCTTTAATTCACTTATATGTACCAATTCATCTCTGTCAGGTTTCTATTAATTTCTTTGCTGTTTTACTTTGTCCCTATCCCCTATATTATAAGGCATGATTTCCGCACTTATGTAGCCAAAATAAAATTTAAAAAAATTAAATCTTCAGCAAATTAACTGTGGTCCTTTGATTTGGGACAACTGTGCCATTTCTCCATTTATGTTCACATTTAATCCACTTTTCACAAGTTAATGTATTTAGGAGAATTTAGGTGGGTCAAGTGACCAAGGGGCAGTAACAATTTTACTGGCTAGTTTAGATAAAAAGTTTTAGGCTTGGGTTAGGTATATTAACTGCAAAGTGGAAGGTAGGTGTAGAATTAAAACTGTATGTGTTCATGCATACACACACAGATATCCACACTTGTGAAAAGCCACACTATATTCAGCATTAATTTTTTTCATCAGAATGACGACCAACCTTGGTTACAAAGGTGATTGCCGCATGCACAATTTTGTTTTATCTGGCACCGGTCTTACAGTGTACTGGAAGATCTAAACAGTTGGGTTCAGGGTTGTGCTCCAAATTTGTGTGATGAATCAATGTCTGTGGTTGCTGTTGAAGCAGATCCAACTTTATATTTGTTCTTTCTTTTTCATTGTTAGGATTGGTGCAAAGCATCAGGAGTTACGGCAAAAGCAACTGAAAGGCCTGAGTGATTATTCTACTAGTCCTGGAGGACCTGACATTGATGATGATGAGATGGATCCAAATTATGCCAGAGTAAACCACTTCCGAGAAGCTTATCCAGCAGCAAGCATCTACAGGCCATCATCACCAGCAGTAGCAGAAACCTTTGTATATCCACGTGATTCTCCTTCAGCACCAATGGAGAGGGAGTACTTGGAAGGACTGTATGCAAAAATAAACAAGCAGCACTACCCACAGACTCCTGGTGACAGGTAATATTGCTACTTGGCATTACAATGATAGCTTGGTGGGGAGGGATCCTGGGGCTAGGCGGGGGGGCTGTTCAGATGCCCCAAGCCCCTGTATTTACTGACTAGAAAGCCATGGCTTTCCTCTTAACCAAAACCGTGATTTGCTGCAGCAGTACCCCTAAAGTATCTGAGCAAGGCAGCAGTCAAACAGAAATCATTAAAGAAAAGCCCATATTTCAAAAATAGAATGAATGAACTGACTCCAGTCCAATTCCTGCACTGCTAAGAGAGTGTTTTTCCCCTCTTTCAATTGGGAAAAGTTCTTACCCTGCAGCAAAAATAATCTGTTTTCAGATCCCTTTCGATCCTGCTGATCATCAAGTGCTTATTAGTAACAGGTTTTGTATGATAGCATGATATATTGCATATGTTTATGGTTTAGTTTTCCCCAGCTGTGTGATATTACACACTTTCAATTAGGTTGGGGAGGGGACTGGGAATCATGGCATTTTTATGCAGACTGTGAAGTGTGGCTTCACAAGACTGATTGCCTTTCACAGCCTTTCCAATAAACAAGTGGGAAGGAAAGAGCAGTTTTTAATCCTTACTGTCAAGCTTCCAGGTTGATAGCATTAAAGAAAGATGGTCAAGTTTTTCCCTGGGTTAAAAAGAAAACAAATTCCTTTGAGTTGATGATGTACTGACCATTATGACGATTTTAAAACTGGTTTCTTCTGGAATTTGGGGCTAGAAGAACATAAGACTTCATTACAATCATGGTGTTAATATATCGATGTTGGGTTTTTCAAACCAATGTATGGGTGTGTAGGCAAGATATACAAGTCTATGTGAAAAGAAGAGCTGGCAGAGTAAGACGTGGGGGACTTGAGGAATTATTCACGCTTTGAGTTCACATTACAGTCTGTAGTGTCTCCCCATAGCCTCAATCTGTGCTATGTGATACCACACTTGTTAATTTTGGAGAAATATGTGAGCACAGATATAGGAGTGTTTTCAGTTTGTGACATCATAGTACTTTAAAAACATCTACTGAGTCATTGTTATAAATAGTAATAAAACATTTCTGACATAAATCTAAGTTTGTAGCAGGGAATGGGCCAAGTATCTCTCTCTCTTTCACCTAAATACAGTATGGTAGAAATCTTTCCAAACATAATGACATTGCTAATTTTTTTCTTCCATATTATTAACTCTTCCCCTACTGCATAAGGGTGAAGAGGGTGAAACAAGAGGTAGCGATCGCAGCTTTTTGCCATCTAGCTAGTTTTGCTTTACTGGAAAAGTCTTGAGGTGATTGTCACTGAAGTCACATGAACGTTTGTGTATAGTGAAGGGATCAGAAACTGAGTTCCTACTAACTCAGTAAACCAAGATCTGAGAATTCCCAGCGGGAGGGAGTCTAAATTCAGGTTCATGTATTTTTCAAATATAAATACATACAGATGTAACTCAATTGGAGTAAGACATTGTCATAAAGGTTGCTTCATAATTTCAGTTTTAACAGGACTTAATAGCTTTACATTTGAAAAACGTCATCAATTTCGAAGTGTGGTCTATAAATTGTTTTTCCATGCAGCAAAAAGAAATGCTCAAGTCTTTCCCTCTGGCCTCTTCTATTTGATTCCTTGTATTATGGTTGTAACTACACTGAATGAACTCTTGACTTGCTATGTGGACAAGATTGAAGTCCCAACCAGGTTTGGATTTGGTATTGGGATCATGGATTTTAGTGTGGATTTACCTGTAATTGCATGATAGCATGATAACTCAGTGAAAAACTAAAACCAGAACATCTAACAGGCAAGAAAAGTTACCTCATATCAGAACCCGTGATCAGAAGTCACGCTGAGAGGCTGTTCCATCTGTGTTGATTCTGTAGTGAAAAACAAACAGTCCACAACAACTTCACTTTGTTGTATTTCTCAGGCTCGTAGAGGCTATTTAACCAGATTAGGAAAAAATAGGAAATGTGGGATTCTTATTAGGCTGCCTTTGTTCTTTTTTTAAATCTTTCTTTCCTTTGTCTCAGAGACAAAAAGGTTGTTGTTATTCGCCAGCAGAAATGTGCCAAACGTGAATAATTTTATGTGAATTTATGCAGTGGGTCGTGAGGTCTCAGCCAGCAGTTGTTTAATATAGTGGCAACTTCAGGCAAGGAAATCTTTCTGTGCTAGAGGGAGAGTTTTGAAAGGAGAAAGAGATGTGGAAAGAAAAATCCCTGGATAACATGTTAATTACAAAAACAAATCTGCTTTCAAGGGTCAAGTATGAAAACTACCTTGTCTACCTCAGAATGATGGGAAAGGGCTAAAATGGATGCTTATTAGCCAAACCAAAGTTATTTTGTGTTTGCAAGGCTGAACATTTATCAACACATTTGTCATGTAATAGCTCATGCTTTGGTCTTGCTAACGCATGCATGCTTTCTCTCAAAGTTTTGCTATTAATTTCACTTTAGATGGATGGCTTTTTCTTCCACCTCTGACTCTCAACTTGTAATATAGTGTGTGGAGACTTGATCAGTGACTAAAGTAAATGGGCTTTGGGGTAGAAGGGGGATTTGAACACAGAGAGAATAGATGATTTCATTTTGGTCTGAGAATTCCAGTTATGTGTCATTATGATAAATTAAAACTCATCGTTTGAAGCAAGAAGTTCATTTTTATTTTATTTTATTTTTGCAGAAGAATGTATTAACATAATTAATTCCTTTTAAAATTTGGAGGCCATTTGTAAAGTAAGAAGCTTAGTCGTCAGATAAGTGCTGTTCACAATTTGCATACACTTACCTTCCCTTTTCTCATCACCAGAATCCATCGAGTGTTCCTGGTTCATTCTTCTCAGTAGATTCGCAGTTTAAACTGAGAATCTCCCTCAGTATGCAGAAAAGCAATAGGCTGCACGTGTATGAAGTCTGTTGCTTTAATCATTACGAAGTATGTTTGCTGCCTCCCAAGCACTGCTCCTCAGGGCACACGCAGACCTGCTTTACATTGCTGTTTGCGTACTAACGTCCCCCTTACCTACACTTGCATCTGGCATCTCAGGGGTTTTTTGCTTTGGGTTTTTGGGGGTTTGCTTTGTGTCTTGCTTGCAACTGTTGTGTAACGTTGTTCTGCACTGCTTCACAATTGTTGATTTTCATTCCGACGATGACTATATTCAGTGAAATAGATGTAATTTTTTGTGTATGTTTTGCTGAAAGCTTTGGAATTCTTAACTAAAAGAGGTGTTATATAAATGTAAATTGTCCTTATTAATGAATATAGTGAAAGCATTAGCATGATCAGTGTATTCTGTGAATGTTAAGTTGAAGAGAGTGAAAAAAAATTAGCTGGCAAAATCACACATTTCTTTGTAAATCAAGCATTTTTCTGTTTATTTCTAATTAGCCACAATTTTCTGTAATGCAAATGACATCCCAAAGGATGGTGCAGCCTGCACAGCCACCTTGTGCAGCTGGGGAACTCGCAGGGTCTTTGCCTGAGACGCTGTACATTTCCCCAGCCTGTGGCAGAGGCTGGGTGATCTGTGGCCCATATGTTCCTGAAACAAGTGGTAAGTCACATCTCTCTGAGTTTAGTCATCAAGGCTGTACCATGACAGTGCTAAGTTGCACCATGGCAGAGCCTAGGTGTCAGACGAAAGCCAAAAGAGCATATGCACAACGCTATTATCACTTAAATGTCAGGCATGTCACATGGTGCAACCCTTTCTCACGTTTCAAATAAGCAATTTCCTCTTTTTTCCTCCCTTGAACATGGTGCTGTCAAGTATATCCAAACACCCTGAGTACATCTCCGGAAAGGTTCTAGAGACTTTGCTCAACTTATTTCTTCAGCCCAGAACTATGAAACATTTAAAGTCTGATGCCAAACTCATTGCCAAGTATAAGTCTTCATTTATTTATGTGTCTTATCTTGGGGAATTTCAAAGTGCTGGTCTGACAAAATGAATACAGTTTTCCTTTGTTTAGCGAGAATAGATTCAGAGCTGTATCTTGTTGCAGACTTAAAAAAATACTAATAAAAAACCCAATGCTGTTTTATTACATAGGAGTAGAGTCCAAAGCCCCAGTCTGATCCAGCTTTCCATTTTTGGAGATGCTATGTTGAGTCTCACTGTGCAAGATCTTATACTCTACAATGTTAATTAATTAATTGAAAAATGGATCTTCCTTATTTCAAGGGGAAAGTTTCCTTATGGAAACTTGCACTCTTCCAGAATGTTCAATCTAGCAGCATACAAAGTTGAAAATGGGGAAATGAAACCCATACCTCTGCGCAACCCTAACTCTGCCCCTCGCATCCCACCCTCAGAGCTGGCCAGAGTCATGAGAGAGAGAGGCAAGACATTGAGCAGTCTGCCTCTCCCTGGAAAGGATCAAAGGAAAAAATTGCTGCATGTGTCCTGAGAAACCAAATGGCAAATGTAAGCTATGTGTAAGCCTGAGAGGAGAGCAAAAAGGGTCCGGAGTTTTGAAATTTAGCAAAGGGAGCATTTTTTACTAAAAAGCAGGCTAAATGTTTGTCTTTTGGGCAGGTGAAG